CATATTCTCTCCTTTTTGTTGGATTATGCGGGAGATGACAGATGCGCGTTCAATGGACCCAGATAAAGGGAATTATCCGTAGATAAAGGGTTGACGCGAGACGTTAGACAGATACAGAGAAAGGATAGAAAACATTGGTCCATTGTGGCCGGCCGATATAGAGATTCGCTATATGTAACTTAAAAGAAAAAAGCGCCTTAGAGATTAAAACGAATCGCGAGGAAGCGAGGATAAGGAGAGAACGAAGAAGAGAACGAAAAGAGAGATGCGACGAGCTGGGCAAACGCGATCGTTCGATACCCACATATCGATGACGATCGATGGATGCATAATTAATATATGTATCGAACGCTCGCGCGTTTTCCCGTCATTAAATAACGCCCATATCAGAGAATAAATGATTAGTCCGCGAGCCGCTGGAGGCCGATCTCGTTAATTAAGGCCCATTAATCACTTAAAGTATCTATAATTTAATTATTGCGATTTATAATATTTAATTTTTAATTTAATTGACGGTGAATTTAAAGCGAAATTTCACGAGAGCCTTAAATAAAAAAATTCACCCGATAATTTATTTTCTCTCTCCTCTCTATTTAGATAAAAAAAAAAAAAAAGAAACTGATTAGTCGATACGCAAACTTGCCAATTCGACGTCGAGTGGAAGAGAAATAAAGAGAGATCGGTCGCCGCGTGCTCGATTGAAGGAGCGAAGAGATATTTTATAAGTGCTTAAGAAAATAATTTAAAAAAAAACGAGAGAGAGAGAAAGAGCTCTCTTTTAAGAAGCGCGCTCGGATGACTGATAATTGTGACTTAAGGAGCGCGAAAAGAATAGTCTTTAAGTTTTCAGCACCGATCACGCGAGAGGAGAAGCAGGTGGAAAGACGAGAAAATAAACTTATATATACGTATATATATGATAGATAAATATATATATATATACACAAAGAGAGACACACACGTACGTGCGTTTTCGTTTAAGTTTTTCTTGCGTTGCGACGCGAAAGCAAGAGAGAAAAGAAGAGTGAGAGAGAGTGTGAGAGTGTGAGATGACGATGTTAATGATGATGATTTCGATGACGACCGGGCGACTCAAGATTGCATGTGTATAGGTATACAAATGTACTACCCCCGTGACTTTTATTGACGACGACTGCATTGCTCCCCCTGACAAAGGCTCGTATATTCATTACATAGTTGTATTTGCAATTATATTACCTATACATATATATTATATTCACTAATTAAAGTATACAAAGCGGAAAAAAATGCGGATAAAAGAGGAATTATATTGTTAGCGAGAGATAGGAAAGATTTTTGTATCGGGGCTCGTTTTCGGGGTTTCGCTCGCGTGGAACGTGTTTTTTTTTTTTCGCAAACAAAAAGCGCGGATCAATTCGTAGGGAAAACAGATCTATTTTTTTCTTCCTTTCTCCCCTCTCCGATTACACTTCGTCGACCTCTCGTCGAGTGAAGGGAAAAAAATTCGTTCGCATTGCCATTTTACTCTTCGTGTGTTGTATTATAACTCGGGAGTGATTAGGTTTTATTTAAAGTAAGGCTATAGAGAAGAGGGCTGTGGCCATCCTGTGTGCATACTCTTAATTCCGTGTAACGGCAATCTAATTATTTAATTAGCGTGTGTTTAATTATTATTATTATTATTATTATTATTATGTATATTAGGTATAATTTATACGGTATAGAGGAGGTGTAAAGAGGGTTGATAAATTTTCTCGATCGCGTTTCTCTCTGTCTCCCAGTCTCCTTCTCGCGTCTTTTTCCGCCTTGCTAAGGTCGACCCTCTCCTGTTCGTGTCTTCGATTCTTTTGTACCGGGATGTGCAATCGTCGCGCTCGCGAGGTCATTTTTGTCGGGGCGCGACTCTCCTAATAAAGACGCTTGTTAGGGATATTCCTGTCTTTACACGGTCGATCGTACCCGGGCGGTCCTCCAAATTGATCCGCAGATAAGTTTACTTACTTAGTGTCGGCTTAGTATCGAGACGCGAGACCCTTATGAACTTGCTTCTCAATTCCATCCCTTGCATTTCCGTCCCCGAAAGTAATTCTCGTCTCTCCTAGAATCGCGCAGCTATGAATTTTAATTCGTTCTAACTTATTTCTATATACGTGGTGAAAAATTTCGCGATTAAAAAAACTGATCGTCTGTCATGGCAAATATTTGATCAGCTACTGGTTTTTTTTTTTCTTTTTTTTTAATTTCATCTAACGAGCGTTGAATCGACGGATCGCCAATCTTTTTACGACCCGTTAAAAACAGGGGCAATTTAAAACAAAATGTCAGCGTCGATCCAAACCATTGGAACGTAAAATATTTAACGGGTCGTCAAAGATTTAATCTTTATCTGCTCGCACGCGATACACACACGTGACGGTCTCCGCATTCGATATTTATTTTATCGCTTTTGTCGTGAAAACGTTGAAATTCGTGCTCCATTTCTCACGCTAAACTATTCTCGAAATCCAAACTGTACCGAGTTGCCAAAAAAAAAAAAAAAAAATCTACCTGAAGAATACAGAGTGCCCTCCAATATAGGCATCCCCTTTGATTGCTCGTTTAAGTTATTTTTTCATTCTACGAATTATTAGTTAGTTTTTATTCTATAACTTTTTTCTCTTGTCGAAAAAAATCCTAAAAAAAAGTTATTTCATCACGTTCCACACGAGCCTCTCCACATATCTGAATTCGGGCCATGTTCGTGCTTCTGTTCTATTCGAGAATCGTGCATGAGAGAAAAAGCGAGGGAAAAAAGCCACGCAACAAAAAAATGAATGACAATGATATAATGATATGGTAAGATAGAAGGGTAAACGAGAGAGAGAGAGAGAGAGAGAGAGAGAAAAAAAAAAGGAAAGAAAGGCGAGTCGATTCAATCGACGATACAGTATGATGATGATGATGATAATGACGATGACGCTGATGATTAAAATAATGATGTTGAGTTTGAATGCGTTGACAGTGAGTGCGTAAGAAAAGAAACGATGCGTTTTCTGTTGTATACGTGTTGACAGATCGGAACTGGTCTGTTTGCGGTTCGCGTGTAACAATCACGCGTGATATCGAGATACCGATAACACGATTTTTGCATCCGCAAACAGATATGTACATAAATTGGGACCGCGATTGAAGCGGAGAATCGGCGCGTTTCTCTCTGTTGTTGTACTAATTTAATTTAATTTGTACATAATTTCAACGCGAGCTAAACCTTCGTCGTTATTAATCTTCCGGTTGCGTTGATTTGATTGAATGTCGGGAGAGAAAAAGAGAGGAACAGAGCGAGCGAATTCTATTCAATTGTTGTATTGTGCGTATTGCCTTTTGTTATCGCGCGGAAATTTTGTTGTAACCGTAGATCGAACGCCATGCTAAATATTATACGGGAGATTCGCCACGAAATTGTGCGGGTTCAAAGCTCAAAAAAATCCGACAACGAAAAATAATGAAACGAACGCTCATGTATCACGTTTTCTGCGTTCGGTCATTTAATTGACTTTATATTATTGATGAATTTAAATGTTTGAAATAAATTCTCTGATTCATTTGGTGTGGAAAAATTAATGAGGTTCTCTCGGGAACGAGTCGAAAATAATAAACCATACATCCGGTGACTTCCGTCCCATACGTGCAACATAAGTTGCGTCGAATTTCTCTCGCGAGCAAAGTGAAAAAGAGTAACTCGTCTGTTCTCCATAAAAATCTCTCAATGATTTCTGTCCATTTTTTTCGCAAAAATCAAAATGTGTAATATATAGGATGTTTTCGAACGAAAGTTTTGGAGAACGCTGTAGAGATAATCTTGATTCTATTTTTATTTTGATCGTCTCTAATCGTTCGATTTCTAATCCATCATGACTAATAATTCGCGAATAAAAGGGCAATCGGTTGCCCCCTATAAAGATGCGAGAGATGAATAAATATGCATCGAAAGAATTACATCGACTTGCTCGCGTAGAACTCGTTCGTAGCACAAATCGTGGCGTATCTTGTCGAACGTCTGAAAGAGATGTTTCTCGCCAGATTTTTGTGGCTTCCAAACAAAAAAAAAGAAACGAGGCTGGCTATATCACGAAGAATTATATTGCGAAATGAACTCGCATGCCGATTCTCCAATTCGAGGGAGCACTCCGTTTCGAAACGTAAATATTAGGCGTTTCATATGACGCCGCGGATAATTAAAATAAAAAAAATACTATATTTATTCGAACAACTTGCCAAGTTTTGTTGCATAGTGTACGCGAGATAAACTCACAAAAAAGGGCAGAAAAAAATCATATAAAAAAATGATAAGAAGTAATAAGATGGTTTAATGATATGAGGATGATGAGAAATCCAGCGGATTTAATGGATATAATTTGCATAGCTGTGTGAACAGTTTCACGAAATATTGATGTATATATCTTAAGTTTGTATTATAACTCTCCCCACTTAATTTGTATGAAATGAATTTCGAACATTAAAATCATGAACGAAAAACGTTGCTTTTATAACTATCTTGTTACCTGCATTTTCTCCTCTTACACAAAAAATTATATAAAAATTTGTTTAAACTCGATTAATATTTTTTAGCAGAAATCAGCTGATTAAAACGTGCATTTGCTAATTAAATTTTAAAATAATAATAATATGTTATATAACACTTAAAATTAATATTTTTTTATAGTTATCAGCTGATTTCTGTCAAAAGATATTTGAATTTAAAGTATTATAACATTTTAATTCTTTTAATATATTATTATTTTAAAACTTAGTTGGCAAATTAATACTTTAATTAACTTGATTTCTGCTAAAAAATATTAATCGAGTTTAAAACAAATTTTGTTTTAATATTATTCTTTTTAATACAAAATCAAAGAATGACGCGCGCTTATTCTAGTATACCTAGAATGCAATGACACGGCAATAAATAAATAATTGCAGAAAATGCAATCGAGAATAATGCGTGCGCATACAATATGCACATGCATATAGAATACACACACATGTATGTCACGTTACTCGCGCGCGCGCGCGCACGCTTGCATCTACTATCTACCAGGTAGCTTCTGCTTACCGGTCAGTAGATATGAGTGACAGGTCTTCGTCTGCTCCTCGTTGATTATGCTTAATTGAAGAAAATATCCCCCAACAATGATTCAAAGAATTTATCTTTAATTCTCCGTGAGAGTTCTTTTTTATTTCTTAAACAGAACCGCGGAAAGCAGGAACGATGAATGCGCGAGAAACGGAGGTGAGTTTATATCAATTATATCAATAAATTTTTGCAATCATCTTAATGTTACATTAATAAATAGATAACATTCCGCACGAGAAATCGTGCGCCTTTATGTAACGTTCTCCGGGTTAATTACATTGCGTGAAAAGAGAGAAATCTAATACTAACCTCTAAATATTGTAGATTTGCAGAATATGTATATTTTTTTCTTTTGTATTATTTAGGTGGACAATCTTAAGCAGCAGGGAAATGCATGTGTCAAGGAACAGAAATACGAAGAGGCAATGTTTCATTATACGCATGCCATCAAACTGGATCCGCAGAATTATTCTCTCTACAGTAACAGATCCTTCGCTTTTCTAATGATGAGACAATATCATTATTCTATGGAGGATGCCTTGATGACTATTCAACTAAAACCTGACTGGTCTAAAGTACGTAATTCAATTAAAGCCTAACTGGTTTAAAGTATATTCTTAAAGCAGTCAGATTTAACAATAAATAAGAGTTAATAAAAAAGCGGAGGAAGAGCACATTGAAATTAATATATATTTGACTGTTTCAGGGTTATTTCAGAAAAGGTGAGGTTGAACTAAGGACATTCCGTTTTAGTGAGGCACTTCAATCTTATAACAAAGCCCTGTCTTTGCAACCAAACGAGCCTAAGATTTTAGAAGCAATGAACAGAGCGTCTAGATCATTGATTAAAGACAAAAGAGGTATGCAATGCAAAATTATTTTGGAATTGTAAAGACTTACAACATAATAGAGAATATTAATAAATAAGAATATAATAAAATATTGTATGTTACAGCTGATCAACAGATTCCGTGGCTTGGAGCTGGTGTTGGCATTATATTAGGAGTTATAGTTGTGATTGCAGATTATGTTTTTACAAACAAGCCCACTCTAACGGTATTTTTTAATTCATATTTAAAATTTTTAAATTATTATTGCACATAAATAATCGAGATTAAGTTAGTTTTGTCATAATTATAATGACATTCTTTTGTACTTTGTTACAGCATCCTTTATTGATGGCGTTATTAACGATGTCTATAGCCATGCTTGGTTTTGGCATCGCAAAAGGATTTCGTTATTTTGTAAAATGCCAAAGAAAATCATTGCTAGAACCACCCGTCGACCTCTTCCCTGAGGAAAAGGAAGATTTGGAAAATGTCGACGTAGAAAAAAATAATGAGAAGGAAAAACATCCAAAATATAGCAAAGCACAAGCGCGACAGCGATTTCGTAAAGGAAAATCGTAGTAAGTGTTAATTATTTGTTTCAAATTGCACATTCTTGAATACTTTGAATTAAGAGATTCAATAAAATCCCAATGCCAAACATAAAAATAATATGTAAGGGATAAAGATATATGTATAATGGTTGGCTATAATCAGATCATTGCCCGTTGTTAAATGCTATTGTTATCTTTTGTTGAAAAATTCAATATATACATTTTTAATATATATTAAATAAATATCATTTTTCAATTTTATACAGAAATTATTCGTAAGATGATAACTTATTATTATATTACGATCAAAAGTGAATTGCTTATTGAATCTACTCTCTTGATAAGAAATGCATTTTTTCACACTATGGAAAAATAGTTTTGATAATTATACAAATTTTGCAAGAGACAACTTCAATGGAACATGTACTAATGATTAATTATATGCAGTGTTAGTACGTTAATTGTCGGGTGAATTTTGAGTAAAGTATAATTGTACTTTTTAAATTTAGCCAAAACTAGTAAGAGTATCCTATTTCAAAGAATACGCATTTCTTAACATTTGCATTTGTCTGAAAAAAATTGCACTCGCCCTTGTGATTCTTATACAACGAATAACGAAGTATAAGCATGTCAATCTAGTATTATAAGATAATGTTGCACTTTTCTCTACTTTTTGCACACTATATAATATATATCAGATGTGCATAGCACATCTTAATAGATCTCGATTGAAATATATCTGAATATGTATATCGAAGTCTTTTTTCGACTGGGAATTATCCTCCCATTGAGCTCGAAAAGGCTAATAGGTTTTACTTGTATAATTCGTCAGTTTATAATTTATTAAATATTCTACACGATTCGAATGTTAGTTGCCACATACGCATTCTGCAAACCGCGGTTTACAACACCGCATAGTTATGCAATAAAGACGAGATTACAAAATAGTGCCTCGCTATACATATTACAAACCTGACTCCTGAAACATTGTCCTTTCAAACTTACTGTTTTATATCTAATACGTACAACTGAGTTACATGCAATAATAGAATGTAATAAATGACAAAAATATGCGCGGTGTAAGAAATAAGAAGAACGATTCCCAAAGAAGCTTTAAATTAGAAACTTTTGGTTTATTTTCGAAAATCCTAATTCTCGTAGTAAAATAGAAATAGGAAGCTTTAAAACCAGTTCTCAGAGTTAATTAAGTGACTAAATAGTTACTTAATAAAGTTGATAGAAGTTCAAGAAATATTCAAAATTAACATTTTTCTAGTGCTGTACGAATAGTTTAGAACTAATATAATCAATGGCTGAAAAGTAGAAAAACAAAAATGATATACACATTCAGGAACAGCGCATACGCGTGTAAAATCTTTCCATTGCTAATTCATAAAATAGCAATTAATTCTCTATCGTAAATTTCATTTTTATCTCAATAATGAAGTAAAAAGAAACTCATTTTTTTATATCCATCCAATCAATGAAGTTGCTTTCTGTTAAAAATGAAGATAAATCTAACGTGTTCGATAAGATTTTTACGAAGTTTTTTTTTCTTAGAATGCTCTCTTCCTCTTCCTATCTCATTCACGATCCTGACGTGAAATTACTCACGACACTATCAAGCGCATGCGTCTCATTAAGGTTCGCAGCACATGGACATAAGAAATAACTGAGCTGATTTAATTTGCATGTTTGTAATAAACATGAACATTAAATGAGATATATTGTCAAAGCGAAATTCAATATTTAATTTAATAGTGAATGTAAAATATTTAGATTATAAATCAGTGTTTTTTTTAATCAACGGGAACGTAATTAATATATAAACGTTTTATTAATACAATGTAAGCATTTTAATAAAATGTATTTCTTACTAATATGAAAATGTAAGTTATAATTACTTTATTTATGTGAATTTAATTATTTTAAAATATATGCGTTTATTTGACGCATACACATACACACGCGTACACATACATATATCAAAAGCCGCATCAATAACATCCTGTAGCCAATCAGTTTGCATTTCATTATATCGTCGATTTTGCGTCTATAAATAGGCATTTTACAAGCGGTCAAGTTATTTTTTGTATACGTGTAAATTTTACGTGTGTATATATATGTTATATACCATACATATGTATTATTGAATTTTTATTCTAAATATAATAAAGATGAGAATCTCTTTCTCTCTTCTAAAACTTAAACCTGTGATATCAATAAAATCAACTGTTGCTATTAAATTTTTTCCTTAAAAAAACAATCGTTATTATAATTTAATACTACAAAGATAAGGCAATAACGCGAACGAATTATGTTCTTAAAAAAAAGAGACAAACGAGATAAATCGGCCATTGACTTTTGACTTGGTTTTTTCGCAAATGCTTTCCTGTATCTCGATATGTTTTTTTGCACCGAATGATTTAAGCAATTTTGCAAAGATGAAGAATGCTTCTCGCTCATTTTGTCCTAGATTTTTAATGCATTAATTACAGAATTTCTCACGCGTTTTTCATAGCAATAAAATGATGTATATTTTTAATGTCCATTTCTCCTCCTTCCCCCTTTCTAAACATTTGTTTTCTACTCCTTGTAGACGAGTTTACACATACACACACAGTCGGTCCAGTTATTTCTTATGTCTATGATTCACAGTTAGCATATATTACGAGTCGAGCTGAGCTGATCATTTCTCTGGGAACCTCGAAACGTCACGCATCTCTTATCTGTGCGCCGAAAGAGATCCTTTATTATAAGCGATGATGCGAATCGACTAATAATAATGCAATCGACAGAAATAGATTCGCGATTATCTACAAATTTTAATTGCAATTTACAATTAAAACGAAGATTTTTTCTCTAGAAATTCCGATATATTAACTCATGAAAATCGTGGACCAAAATTTAATTTTTCCGAGGTATTATATATTGACTTTTCATTTTCAATAAAGTAGATTACATTATCCCAGCTCGACTTTATTATTCGCGAAAGCGAAATTTGAATTCAAAGAGCGATATCGAATTCCTATCCCTGAAAGACAAGACGGAAAGAGAATGAATCAAAAATAAAAAGAGGAGTCGGGAAAACTGCAGGAATCGCAACGTATCGCGTTTTTTTTTTTTTCGTCATTTCGTTGCTCAGAAATCTCGTTGACGTCACACAGCTGCTCACGGATGTCCCAAGTATTTTCTCACGCTCGTAATTTACGCACGCGACGTTACGAAGGAAATACCTATGTAAGGGGCGCCCTTTTCGTCTCGCAACTAAGAGACGCATTACAACGATCCGGTTGAACCAAAGGAACGCGCGCTTGACCGCGTGTTCGTCGCTATCGAGAATACGGCCATTATGTAAAAGCCAGGAGAGCACGCGGTGTTACGCGCCTCGTAACACACTCGATCGTTTCCCGTTACGTTTTGCGCGAAAAAAATGGCGACAGGATCCCGGATGAAGAGACGCGAATGTTCCTCGAGGGAGAGAAATCCGGTCGCGCGAAATGTCCTGGGGTTAGGACTGTCGAGGCGGACTCGTCGAGAACGTGTCGAACGACGCCCGTTTCCGCCGCGAGACCGGATACGCCTCGTCGCGAAGCCGAGGAGGTCGTCGAGGAATGGAGGCCTCCTCGAGGAAGGCCCGAGTTTTCCGGATCTCCGAAAAAGACCAAGTGCGCCGCGTCGTCGAGGAAGATCTCGCGGAGGCGAAACGCGAAACGGGGAAACCGGAGGAGCGTGCGTGACCGGGACGCCCAATGCGATTAAAGGCGGCCGATCTCGTTGCTGCTTGTCGCGTCGCAGCTGCGCGGGCGCGCGCGCATGCGCGCTTCGCACGCACCCTCGGCTCTAGCGAACTCGCGTGACGGGAGCTTTGCATCTCGCAATTTCATCAGTTTTTACATTTTTTCCAACTTCCATTTTTTCTATCATTTTAAATGCTAAACTTTTATATGCTAACCTTGTATACTTTTCTTTCTGTTTTGGATATTTTTTATTGTAAATGTATACATTTTTAAAGCATTTATTATAATAAAAAATGTATACATTTTTTAAAGCATTTATTATAATTAAAAATGTGAACATTTTTTAAAGCATTTATTATAATTAAAAATGTATACATTTCTTAAAGCATTTATTATAATAAAAAATGTATACATTTTTTAAAGCATTTATTATAATCGAAAATATCGAAAACAGAAAGAAAAGTATACGAGGTTAGCTTATAAAAAATTATATTTGTTCTTTAATTAACATTGATTTTAAAATACCAGAAAAATAATCGAAGGAAAAAGTGGACAAAAATGATGAAATCGCGAGATGCAAAACTATATTTATAATTATAAATTGATGAAGAGATTTATTAAGATTTTCGTCGCAACAATTTAATTTAAAATGACACGGCGATTAGACTTGCAAATTTTCATATTTCGCATCGTAATCTTCTCGGCGGAAAAGCCTTGAAAAGTTGGACTTTGTATCGGAGCAAGTCGAGTGTAGCTTTCCTCGCCCTCGACGCCAAGCGTTAGAATTTTCCAAACATTTCGTAATAATGACCCGCGAGTTTTAACTATGATGCGACCAAGTATTTCCCGTCTCTTCATTAGAGAGGAGTTCATATAGCCGTGACTCTCTCTCTGTCGGAGTCGCGAAAGTTCCCGCGCGCGTCTTCATTATTATAACGTATATACATACTTATTAATAACGCGTGGCGAACGAAGGACGAAGTTCACGACTTGTACACTTCGTAGTAATTGCACAAAGCTTACCTGCGCTGTGTGGCGCAAAGAGGCAAAACGTAATCCACCATGAAGACGCTTTCCGTTATCCGCTCCATTGTCCGTGGGATGATTAACCGGTAAAAAATTCTTAGGGGCGAGAATGAGCTACAAAGCCTTTTATTAAGGAGTCAGGAGAAGGATCGGAGGATTATTTCCCATTTCCTTGTATATATTTCCTCAAAGTCTATAACAAAAAGTAAGACCAGATTTAATTCTTTACATTGTAGAAAAAAAATGATTATACAAGCGATTAGATAAGCTAAATATATACCAACGAAAAAAAAGATCCAGATTCGCTCTCTATTCATTATTTATCGAGAGAGTTCGCAAGGCCAATCGGAGCGGTGTGAAGTTTGTCACGTGTCAGCGGTGTCGAGTTGTCAACTCGGGCGCCCTCCGCGCGACTCGACTCGTCCTGTCACCTCAAGGCGCCCCGTATGAATTCGACCCTGCGCGAGCCGCACTACTTTTCTATCTTACCCCCACTCCGCGCGGTCGTGTGTACTGGCTGGTACGCGCTGATTGGCGGACGGGTCGGTGGTGGGGGCCGAGCACCGCGACACTCTCGACGAGGCCCTCTCGGCGACTGGGCGCATCTATCAATGCGCAATCGCATCGGAACGCTACGCGAAGTCGGGGAGCCCTGTAGCGAGGAGCCGAGGAATAAACAGTGGATAGTCCGCGCACGGCACGGGTAACGGCGCGAGGTGGCGGGGCGGTGGAGGGAGCGAGGACACGTAGTGGGAGAGAGAGAGAACGAGGAGGTGGGAGAGCGAGCGAGACGGAGCGAGAGACGGCGAACGAGCGAGGGAGAGAGAGAGAAGAGACGTGGAGGAGAGAGCGAGATAGAACGAGCGAGCAGGCCAGCGAGACGATCACGATGCACGGAGGCGAGCACAAGCGGCCAGGGGCACAGGGCTGAGGGCTGAGGGCTCGACGGGGGCCTCGAGTAACGTTCACGGGCCGGCCGCGGCGCAGTCGACGAGCGATGGAGCAGCCCAAGACTCCGGCGTCCCGGCTACTCGTCACGAGCTGCATCGAGAACAAGGACGAGCTGGAAGAGGTAACATAAATATTTGAAATAGTCACTGGATACGTATCGGGTGCGAGGGCCTCCGCCATTGTTGCGACGGTCGCGCACGTTGGTGACGCGCGGCGCCACATGCGAAAACGCGTGTTTCCCCGCGAAATTTCAATTCGCGAGAATGGACGCACCTCGGACTTTTTCGTTCTCTTCCTTTTCCTCCCGCGAGCTTTCGTCTCATTATACGCCTCTGCACTTCTCGAAATCGCAAAAGAAAGTTCGAGCATATTTTCTTTAGATCCTATTTTGTATTTTATTTATCATTTTCGGAAATTTTATTTTATATCATAATATGCTTTCACCAAGGAAGATTTATTCCAAAAACCTAGATGCAAATTTATATTAATTCCTCTTGTACTATTTCTTTTTCCTTTGTTAGCCTGGAGAATTAAACGATGCGATATATGATTTTCAGAAATTGGAGAGATGTCACTCGATGCTGCAAAATCTGACTGCGGGACTTTCGGAGAAGGAAGTTCACGATACATTGAACAATGCTGTGTGCAAGGACAAGACGCACGAGGAAGTTTCACTGGGTTTACTAGTGGTGATTTTGACAGATTCGCAGAATGCTGCAAAGAGTTATAGAGACTTAACGTTAATTACGCGAGATGGACTTGCCATTGTGCTGCTTCATCTCAATCAATTAGTATTGGAGAAATATTTGAGATTAAATGACATCACTAGGAGTCAGCTGTTGTGGTTGCTGAGAGAAATGATAAGGACTAGTGTAACTAATGTGGATAATCTTTGTTTAAGTTTGTTGAGGCATGCTGCGGGTGGGGATATTTCCCCAAGAAATTTATTCCTTGTTGACGCTCTCTTAGATATTTTTCAAGAGAATCGAGCGTGGTTGGACAAGTTCCCTTTTTTAGTAGCATCAATTGTTTACACATATTTGCGGTTAATAGAAGACCATAACGCGCCTCACTTGACTGGTTTGCGGCAAAAGGAAGTGACCTTCACAGTGTCTCTGATAAGGGAGCGAATGGCAGACTGTTTAGCTATTGGAAGGTACGTACATCCATCGCGCGTGACTAATACTCTAAAAGACGAACTAAACGAATTAATTTACTCAATTATATTTGTGCTATTTTGCAGGGATTTGGTTCGTTTACTGCAAAACGTCGCGAGAATACCAGAGTTCGAGGCATTATGGAAAGACATACTGCTCAATTCGAAAAGTCTCTGTCCGAATTTTAACGGCGTTCTTCAGTTGCTGCAGACCAGAACATCGAGAAGATTTTTACAATCTCGCTTGACGCCGGACATGGAGAGGAAACTCGTATTCCTCACCAGTAACGTCCGTTTTGGTAATCACAAACGTTATCAGGACTGGTTCCAGAGGCAATACTTAGCGACGCCTGAATCTCAGTCGTTAAGATGCGACCTTATTCGCTTCATCGTCGGAGTCATACACCCCACGAACGAGTTGCTGTGCTCCGACATCATACCACGATGGGCTGTAATAGGCTGGCTATTCACAACGTGCACTTCCACCGTAGCCGCCAGCAACGCGAAACTGGCCTTGTTCTACGATTGGCTATTCTTCGAACCCGAGAAGGATAACATCATGAATATCGAGCCGGCGATCCTCGTCATGCACAATTCAATGAGGTCTCATCCACCCGTCACTGCCACACTTCTAGATTTTTTATGCAGGGTAAGGACTGTGTTTGCATTTTTTTTTTTATTGTTGTAATGTTTCATTGTGAAACTCTTCTAACACAAGGATTCGTTTCGTAGATAATTCCAAACTTTTACCCTGCGCTAACGGACAAAGTGAGAAACGGGATATTTTCATCGTTGCGACAAATTTTGGAGAAACGCGTTTTGCCTAGCCTGTATCCGTTATTCGATAGCCCGAAACTGGACCGAGAATTGCGGAGCAAGATACGAGAAACCTTCAAGGAGTTTTGTCTACCGCCGAATACAGAGCCTGGTAAAATTATTAATACTGTATGCAAATTTTTTGTTAACACTATTTCGCATCCTCCATTAAAAATAAGCTACGGATAATTAATTTTTTTTTGAGTTTCTGCCATTTCATTCACAAATCTGGATAGTCGTTACATGTGGAAAGCTTTTTTTTAGATGTCCAAAACTTATCGATTACACTCGGCGTTATTAATATCTTTCATTTCCAATTTAAACGTTTCTCAGTTCTTTTCGTATAAATAATGTGTCTAAATTCATCTGACAGTTTGAACTATTATTTTGAGATATTAAAAAACATCCTTTCTGTTAAATATAACGGATGCCTTCAGAAAAAAATATCTTAATTATTATGATGCCAATCATATTTTGCATAATTACAAATTAAAAAAATATATAGTCTACTCTTACATTAAATATGTGAAATTTAAACAATATTTTCTTTGTTATTTTATATAATTTCATACAATTTCTTTATTATTTCATATAATTTTATATATAATTCTTATTAAATTCACTGTGTATGTGTGTATTAGAATTTATAATGAACTTTATAAAATCTCGAATTTATAATAAGAATTTATAATATAAAAGTTTGTTAAATTCATACATTGGAAAAAATTTATATTTAAATGCTGTATGTGACGCCGAGTGTGTTTCTTCGTAAAAACTTTTTCTTTGCATCAAATCTGACGATTCACTCCTTTTAGCTTTCAGCACATTTATCGCTTACTAACTTTTTACATCATGTCCTTAAGCAGGTAATAAGGTCTTGAAATATTCAGGTAAAATGGAAGAGCTCAACAAGGAGCACAATCCAGGGACTGTAATAGAGAATACAAATTCTACCATGGAGAATAATCACGTGGCACAGGATCCAGAACCAGCGTTTAGTGATGAAGAGGAGGAGTCTCCTCTCAGGTTGATTATCCATTATATACAATAGTTTTGTAACAGTGATATATATATTCATCTTTTTTTCATATAAAACACTATTAATGTATTAATCTTTTTGATATGGAAAAACCGTAGTTTTGGCAGTGAATCATCAATGTGTTCGTTACGATCGAATGATACTTTAATTTTATATGAATTCGGTGAGGTAGGTATTCTTCGATCGCAACAAATTGTATAATTTTACGACTATGGGCATTCTCCAGTCAAAAAGATTAAATGTTAACGTCTTAAAATTAATTTTGCAAACTAATGCAAGCTAAATTTAGGATAGTGACAAAGGTGGAAGACGAAGACGACGAGGAGGATATACCGTTGTCCACGGTAAAACTGAAAAACGAGCAAAAGAATGCAAATTGTGTTGTGAAGAAGGAGGACATTACGTCGCATTTGCGTCTCATATTGGAACCGGAAGAGTTGAGAACCAGTATAGAGACGTTGCACACGGAAGCTGACAATGAAGCGAGGTGTCAAACGATGGAGAGGATAGTACAAATGGTCGTGGAGGACGAAATAGACGCCGAGACAATATCCGCGTTAGCGTCCTGCATATCGACCATCTTATCGTCGCAGATTACGGCACCGATCTTTCCATCGGACAACATGAACGAGGAAGCGCTAACTGATAGTATAAGTACTCCGTTGTTCGTCATGTTTCGAAATCAATTTCAGTTGTGCAAAGAGGAAGATAATAGACGGAAGCTGTTGGCTAGGGTCTTAGCAGAAATGCAGTCGGTTCAACCACGAATAGGCTATCTTCTCCTTTATTTCTTGAAAGTCTGGGGCAGAGAGGAAGAAAAACGAGAAAACAAGCCGAGGTTGGTCTAAAAGAAAAATGAAATAGTAAAAAAGAAAAAGTAAAGAAAACATTTTTGACCTCTACACTTTTTTATTTCAGCAATGTTTTGAATGACATTAAAGCGTCGGTGTACAAGGATTTTTGTGGGCAGCGAGAAAAAAAATTGGATGTATGCCTGGTGTCGGACTTAAAGGTAGAATTTTATATCGAAATACAAATAAATTAAGTGTATACATGTATGTATTACAAAATATGTGACATATATTACCTTTGTCTTTGTTATAGCTCTGCCATGAAGATAACATATTCATGTTATGTTACCTCGTGCCCGACGTGTACATGGGATTTCAAAACGTCGCTCTCGGAAACGCTCAATTGTTACATCTCGTCGTCTCTACCGTGGACTCGTGCCAGTTGCAGGATCTGGTTTGTCAAATAATGCAAGGCCATCTGAAAATGTTAAAGAAGGAATCATTCACTGCGTTATTAACAGCCAGCTTAAACTGGGAAACCTTCGAACAGTACTGTTTTTGGCAGCTCATATTCGCGCACGATTTTCCAATCGATTACGTACTGCCAGTTTTGCCGAAATTACAATTTCGCAATCATGCGGAGGCGCTTACTTCGATTTTGTTCATGCTTAAGCAACAAAAGTGAGTCTTGATGTAGTTGCAATTTATATATATATAAAATCTGTGTATAAAACAATTTGAATATTTGTATATTTTATTATAGGCCAACGTTGGATCTTCTACGACAACTGCTCGCTCGACAGAGCGTCGATGGCGACATGTTTGTCGTAGCTGTACTACGCTATTGGTGTCGTGATTATGAGGAGAAGCTTGGTGAACTACTCGCGAACTTGCTCAGCACCCGTTACCCTGCGACTAGTCCGAACAAACGGAAACGTTCAGGTGCTAAACAGAATCAACAGTCCGGTCCGCCTACCGGCGAACAAGTTCTCAGCCATTTGGAACAATTACGGCAGCACTCCGCGGAATTACAGCTGTATCATTTGGAAGGTATGCAGAGAGCGCTGCAACAGGCGCAAGCGGCAAGCAACGACTCGCTGAGGAAGAGCTACGGCGATCTCTTCTCACTTGCCGAAATTAACGAGGAGAACGAACCACCACCGCCGAGTAGCTCCGCGAGAAAACACAACGTTTCCTCCGGGGCCGGTGGTGGCAGTAAGGGCGGTCATAGAAAAACCGGTGCTAACACGCGAGAAAGATCCAATTCGAAGAGACCACTTCCACGGTATCACATTGACAGTACCTCCAGTAGCGAAGTAAGTTTTTTTATTACATTTTTCTTTAGCGTATTTATTTATAAAATAAAATAAATATAAATAAGTAAAAATATATATATAAATATAATATAAAATTAAAGTATATGGCGAAAAAATACAATCTTTTTTTCTTGATGCTCATAGGAGGAGGAAATCGTGAATCCAAAGCAAGCGAAAAAAAGGAAAAGATCAATCCAGTGGGCTCGGACAGCGACTGACCACCCAGTGTCTTCATATGTCACATGGACCATGTCACGTGTGTGCAGCAAGCTAAACTAGCCTTAAGGATAGTAAGATAATATGATATATATATATATATATATATATATATATATATATATATATATAAATATATAAATAGAGATCTATTTAGCGCGACTTGTAAATATAATATACGTTAAGGATGAAAAAAACGCGGAGAGATATACATATATTCAGAAAAACCTTTAATATGTTTCGTAAATGTTGCTCAGAGCAACAGCAAAATTGCCAGAGACTCTGATTGTTATTGTTGAATCGTTTTATTAAAAAAAAAAAAGAAAAAATGAGGATCGGCGTGTGAGAACTACTTAATCGCATTTTTTAAGTACGATCTCTCTCATTCCGAACATGTTTTTACACGTTAATATTGATTATTGCTTTTTTCCGGTAACTCACATGACAGATATAAGTAATCTTATATAAGCGGTATGTCAATTATTTTACTTCCCTGTGTTTTCCTCTCGAAATATTCGCGCCGCTTGCGTCTGTCAAATAAATAAGTTACCAAACAGCAGGACGTTAGACTCTGAAAATTACTTAATTAGAATCTGGCAACATTGCGAGGGGTAACAGCAACACAATATATCCCTTTTGCACTTTATCATGGGTGCTTTTCAGCAAGCAACACAGGCGACACAAAGTCACACTGTGTGCGACACAAGTGCTTTTCTACTATCACACAATATAACACAATCTTACTCAGCTCTTTAGCTAAGTCGCTTTGTGCTCAATTGTGTTACACCAGTATTACACAGTGTCTATCTATGTCTTCCTTGCTGAAAAGCACCCCATATTATCTATATACATCTATATATTTTTTTTAATTATGACGAATTTTATCCATTGTCCTAAATGATTGTCATATCTTATTTTTCTTTATAAGACTTCTTTTCAAAATGATTATCGCAACTGGACATATTCGTTGCCATATCTCCGAACACAATTCATATAAGAGTTGTTAGCTTTTCCTTTTCTAGAATTAAGGACCTTCTGCCAGAACATCGAGACGTAAATCGACGCGTCGTATTCCGGCGAGAAGCGTACAGTTTTACGACCAAATATATAATTCAGTTCGCGACTGCGCTTATTGAGAGCACAATTATCCTCGAGAGACGCAGGGAGGATATCTTTTTAAATATGTTCTGCATGACGAAGATTGTTAGCGTTAAAGTAATCCGAGCGATATTCGATGTTAGTTTCAAATAAATTTTCTTTCTTTTTTTTGTTTCACAAATTTTACTAGAGCGATTTAATGATTCGTTGCGATTGTAAATTGCAACATAATATGAATTGTATTGTACTTTTGTATATGTTTTTACATCCCTCATATTTGTAGATAGACATGTAAGATAAAATTGATTCGAAAGATAACGATGGATTATAGGCACGGTAGATCGATATCTTATTGTACAAGTATTCAATTCTCTTCATAGTATTCGAATGATTTACCATACACATCATTTCACGTTTCATTATTATGCTACCCACAAGCATGCATGTTTCTTTGAAATGTTTAAAAGTCTCGAATTACGCGACACCTAAGAAAAGTAGAAGGGAAAACAATTTAATCTCCCTCTTTTTTTATCATCCCTCCCGAATCGAGTGTTCTTGTAAATCTACATTTACAAAGGCAAAGTGTGGAGATTATCATCATTCATCATTTGCAATGTATATTTCCTATGAAAAACATGTATGTACATATACATGTGAGATAAAAAATGAGACATGTATATGTGTATAGATATTTTATCGCGATTAACAAAATTACGAAACATTTTGTTTTCAAAATTTATATATTTCTCAGTAATGTCTCCACGTGTCTTTCATTTTCCCTTGATTCTATTTACGAAATCGTATCGCGATAATTGGAAAAAAAAGATAAAAATATCGAAACATGTCTGTGAACGTTCGTACGAATAATTTGTATGAAAGATGGGTGTGTGTAGTATAATTCTTCTCCCCTTTCCGTTTGTAATAACGCGTGACGATAATGACATACTAGAATTTTTCTACTTGTATATATGCAATGACGAGATACGTCAGAGGGTATTTAAAAACGATGATCCGACGAGAGAAAGAGAGCGGAATTTTCAAACATGCGCGAGGCGATATGTGAGAAAAGAAGGAAAAAAAAGAAAAGGCAAGCCTGTAAACACATCTAATGTTTCTAACAATCTTGTACACACGGAGAAGAATATGTAAATATATGGACAGATTATCATATTACGCGAGCATAAACATTTAATGTTTTTAACGATCTTGTACACACGTAAAAAAAAAAAAATGTAAATACATCGAAAATTATCGGAAGCAAACTTGTGATAACTCTGTGGTACTTACTTTCTCCTTCTCTCGATTCACACCATCTTCCTTCGACATAGTCTTTATCATGGGCGTTCGCAGAATTTTTTCAAAGGGAGGCATAATTAATTTTTTTAAATTTTTTGTTAATTTTATTTTTTTTATATTAAATATGGAAATAAATTCCAGTGCTTATTCAAAAGAAGAGAAAATGCCCCCTCTTGTCCCTCCTGCGGACGTTCATGGTCTTTACTCATTTTAAGGATAAAATGTCTCGCTGCAAATTAGCAATAATGGTTAGTGCGTACTTCTAGAGCACACACAAAAACTTTCTCTCTTTATCCCCGTTTTGCATAGTTACGTGTAATCGTGCAGTAACTTTCGTAACGCGAGCCATATAATGATTATTTTTTATCAGATAAGTTTTATCGGACAAAGAAACGCGACACGATTAGCTATATTTGCCGATGAATAATGTATTTCATTCGCGATGACCGCTAACTCTTTGGATATATAATCGTTGTTTACACATTATATGTCATATTGTACAATCATCGATTCGTCGTATGGATTCCGACACGCAACTGTGCGTTCCAAGAAAGACTTATTGCGAAAACAATTTTATTTTCTTCTGCCACGTACATGTGACACTTTCGTTAAACACTGTGAGAAAGAGAGAGAAAGAGAAACTGAAAAATTTAATGCGAGACAATAAATTATATAATAATATATATCAATTGTCACATATTATTATTGCTAAAAATGCGACGCGGGGAAGAAATGGAATAAATCCTTATTTATTTCCTCAAGAAATTTTTGCAGATACGTCATTGTTAATTATATGACATATCTTTCTCTACATATGTGTGATGCATTAACCAAACCTCTCAATTTGTCATAATATATTCGCCAGCAAGACGAGAACTGCGAAAACTATATAATAAAGTAACTATCCGTTTTTCTTAAGGTTTACTTGGTTTTTATTACTTCACGTTAAGGACACAGAATGAAGGACCGTATAATTTCACAAATTTAATCATCTCGATGATACATTATAATTCGCGCTCGTCTGTCTGTCGAGAATTTCATTCAGCTAATTTTCGCAGGACGAAGATCAATCGAAAGCAGAAATTTATTCACGAAAGCATTTACGAAAATGCTCCTTGTCATATCGTTTTTGATATTGGATAAAGCTCCAATTATATATATCATTGTTCAAATATTTTTTTAACACAAAGATATCGTTATCATTTAATTTTTCGTACAATATCAATATTTTTTTCATTGATTTATATATACCTATAATGAAAAGTCAATATTTAAAAACTGCAAGAAGTTATTCCGCCTCTATTGATCTCCGCGCATTTTAGTGTTCACCTAATTGAAGTAGAGAAATAGTTTTGTTTCGATTGTGCATTGGGGTTGTACTTTACATAGGTATATTTAAAGAGTCCGAGTAAATACTCGTTTTATAATCGTTATAATCACAAACGTCGAATATGTACAAGGATTCTGTACAGGGATTCGTATCTGCCTTTCGCGCAATATCACGTAGAAATTCGATTATTAAACGGTGGGTAGGTATCATTCTTTATGCTTACGAGGCAAAAAAAAAAAAAGATATGTTTGCAATCAAGTTTGCCAAACAGCGTACATAGTAGTCATGAAAGTGAAATTAATCAAAATCTAACAGTTTGAAGCCCGAAACGTAATGTCCTCTTGTTCGACAAATTACTCGATTTAGATTCTTTTATCGCAATTAAAAAATATCGAACCGAAAAGTACAACAATACTGATTATTCATAACGTAAATTACTTTTCACATTGACAATGCGCATTTCATAAAAATCCGCCGACGCAATACAATCAATAAGCCTTTAAAAAAAGGATGTAAAAGACTTTTGGACATTCTTCAATTTTTTTTTCTCTTTAACGTCCTCTTTTACGTCGCTCGAGAGGGGACAGCAGGAAGGATACGATTCGTTCGAAGATGTAGCGATTGCAAAGATTCAAAGTGACGCCCGTGTCCGTGGTTTTACTAAAAAGCGTAATGCAATTTCTCTTACCGGATAGGCAAAGACTAATCTTGCGACGCCTTTTTACACCTCGATGATACCGGCCGTCCGCTTTAGGCGCGTTTATAATCCTACGTTTACGTAGCTACAAAATCATATATGTCTAACATCACCGTTTGCGAAGGCTCCTCTCGTTTACTTTAGCGCACATGCGACCAGAGCGTTCCGTTGATCGCTCGTCGTTTCAAAACACGTTTCCAGAGCTCGTTGTATGCACGCGACAAATAGTAGTCCCCGCGCGCGTAATCGCGTATATACGGAACGTTCGTTTTCGCGAAATCGGGACACGCACGCGCGAATATACATACATCGCTGACTCTCAGTTCATCATACGCACGCACGCACACATACACATATCTTTCACATTCTTCTATTGTAATTCCGTTATAGATTCGCATATGCGTAATATGTACACAATTATACCAGTCGCGTCGGTCTTATTTAGGGTCCTAAGGCTGCTAAAGAATCCCACTTTTTCGGGAACTTTTATTCTCGCACAGGAGATTAACTTGAAGTTCTCAATCCATTTTTTAAACACTATTTTAAAGAGGAAAGAACAAGTCTTTCTTTCTTTCTTTGTTTAGGGAATAGGCTTAGTAAATCACTTCGTATACAGTGGCCTTTTTATCGCCGGATCCAGTCACAATGTACTTGTCGTCTGCGGAAATGTCGCAACTCAGCACCGATGATGACTCCTTAGACTGTAAAATTTAACAAAATTTGCGCAAAATGTAATTTTCGTATCTGTATATAACGCTAATATAAACGTTATTATCGATTTACAAAATGTATTTCAGAGAAAGAGGAAATCTTTTATAAACATCTACTTATTTTTAATTAAATAAAAGAAACAAATATATTCTATGCTAATAAATATATCCTGTGTCACACAGATGCTCTCTAATATATTTACGACGCAGCTCATGTCCAATGTTAATCGGAGATGAGAAAATCATAGTATAATGTAAGAGAAAATGGTATAAATTATCTACACGACTAAATAAATACTTGCCTGAAAGATTGAAGCACCGTACGGCGTACGCCAAGCATTCAGCAAGTTGTCCTTGCCGGTGGAGACGAACCACTTTCCGCAGGAGGCAAAACGCAGCGAAAGCACGCAAGAATCGTGCAGATGCAGCTGATACTTGTCGGACTTGGTGGCGTGGAGTACCTCCACGTTCGAGTTCTCCATCCCGACGGCCAACCATTCCCCGGTCGGACAGTAACCGAGAGAGAATATCTGCGAGGTGAAATCGTGCTGCTGCAATTGTCTGCCTTCGCGAAGGTCCCACGAGCGCACGGTATTGTCGAGGCCGCCGGTCCACAGTTTGGACCCGTCGGCGGAAATGTCGATGCAGGACGCGCCGTCTGTATGGCCCTGGAACTGCCTGACCAACGTCTGATTCTGCAAGTCCCACACGGCGATGTTGCCATCGCTACAGCAGCTGAAGCAGACCTTGGAGTCCGGTGAGATCGCTAGGGCGTAGCAGGCGGGCGCCGACGAAGTCAATTCCGCCTTGATTCTGGGCGTGGGACTCGCCAGGTCCCAGATGCTCAGTTGGCTGGCCTCGCCGCCGACTATCAGGGTCCTTCCGTCAGGCAAGAGTTTCACGGACCTAAGAGAGGTAGAAGACACATGTGTCACTAAATTCCTTTCACCCTTAAGCTTATTATTAAAATTATCGCAGAATGTTAATATAATTAAAAATTAATAGTTAAAAATAAAACTTTGATCACATTACTTCTACTTGATAAAATTATATATATGACTCTTTTTCTCTTGTCAAAAGTAACGGGAATATTTACATGATATAACAGCGAGGTGTTCTTACCTAATGTAATTGTCACGTTGCAAACAGTCCAGCTGCGAAACTGGTTTCACGCTGGCGCTGCCGACACTCTGGCCGATATCCCAAACCTTGACGCAACCCTTACCGCCGGTGTAAACGTACTTGGTCGGATTCGAGATCGTGACGGCACAGACCACCTCGCCATGAGTCAGAGTATTAATCTGACGCGCGTGACGCGGGATGCCCGGTCCTATTAGAGCGTCCGAGGGGAATGGTACAGGCTGTAGCTGGCCTTCGCCGTTCATGTGGTAAGAGTATGCCCTGCGAAACGTAACGTAGTATTAACGCTTGCGCTCTTATTTCAATAAAGCGCCAAAGACAGAGGTGGAAGAGAAAGAGAATCTTCATGCATGCATCGTAAATTGTCAAATTACTTACGGTTTGCCGCCCGCGATGTTGCTCAGCCCGTTACTCGCTGATATCCTCATGTGACTGTCGAAACCGAGCTGCGAAAAAAGAGAGAACTGGTCAGCATCATATTGATCAAAGATATATGTACGTACATATAATATATACAAGGTGTCCCAGATCTGCCGCATCACCTGCTAATAGCAGATTCCTGAGATAATTTGCAGACTATTTTTTTCTCAACAAAAATTAACGGGTGCTGAGGTCACCCTGGGTCATCCTGCATATATGCGTGTTTAATTCATAAATGCGAAATAAATGGTCTTAAAAAATGCCAGTTTCGACGGTGTTTGCATTAGTTTGGCACGAGACTGATTGCGCTTTAGCTCTAGACTTGCGAGCTAGATTATTTTGATATTCCCAGTAATTTTGAGATTTCTCGTTGAAATTACATGGATTTATAATACGAGAGAAAAAAGAAATTAATACTATTTATAGAAGAGAGTCTTCTAGAGTTAAACGTACGCAATATTACGATTACGTTCACAGAATCTCGTTACGCGAAACTCACACACGCAACACTTATATTCGCGGATTAATATATATATATATAAAATTATAATATGCTAATTGATGAATTAAAGCGTGATAACGTAAGAAGTTACGGGGTCGTGAATCACCATAGAGGGCCTCGCGTATGGCAAGTTGCTGTATGGCGAGGGCGACTGCGGCGGCTCATTGCCGCGGGATGGCAAGCCCTGATAACCCTGCGGTGGCGTTTGCTGCGACGATGGCGGATGATAGACCCGCGATGCCAAGGGCCCAGGGATGCCGCCCATAGTTGGCGTACAACTGCGCGAGCCCCTCGCCGCCGCCACAGGTGTACCCGGCTTGTCGACCTGGCGAACGCACGGTGTTTTTGCACCCACTTTTGCAGACGCACACTACTACATCGCAATCGTACTAAGCTCGACCGCGTCAATCTCTGACGAATACGCTGACAGTGTCAGCCCGGTCGAATATCGCGTGATATCTTTTTTTTCTTTTTTTTTTTTAATCTTTCGCACGACGGCAGAGAGAGCCGCTGCTTCAACACGACCGATCGAATGAATGAATACGTTCCGTGCCCTGAGAATCGCGAATGTGTCGCGGAGATATCGCCAGAAGTCAGAGAAACTGCGGATCCAATTTTTCTTACATTCGAGATTGAATTTCTTCTCTCTACAACTATTATTTTTTATATCATCATTTTATTTTTTATCATAATCAAAATAAGATACGAATGATTCGAGGAAAAATAAAAAAAAACATCTGGCGATTATTCGCGATAAAAGATCGACTTTACGTTCATTTTGGATGGTACGAGATGGAATTCTTGATATATTATTAGGCGACATAGTGTCACGACTGGGCCGGCTGGGTCGCGGCGCCGAATAAACTTACTCTCCGCGAGATCTTACATCTTTACTTTTCAGAGACGGTGTACTACGGGCGGATGAGCTGCCGCTGCGCGAAGGCGGCCTGTCCTTTACGGATGCTGATCCCGTGCCTGATGCCGGTCCGCCAACGTGGCCCGGTGCGCCCAGCTTCTCCAGGGTGCCGTTCTCGCGTGGATCCGAGTGCTCTCCGTTTGCGTGCGGAGACGACGCCTCCTTTCACACAGACAAACGTAAATAATATATATTTTTTATTATTTTATTTTAGACACCTACGCTACATCGAACTGGCGTAGGAATCTTAAACACGTAGTTTGCGAACCACATAAATATATTATAAAAATGAAAATAATGTTATATCTTATCTTCGATTAAAATTTTTTGATAGAAATCAGCTGATTTGTGTCAAACTCACTTTAATATTTTTTTAACAGAAATTAACTGATTAAAGCATTAATTCATTAATTAAATGTTAAATATATTACAAAAATTTAAATAATGTATTGCAAATAATGTTATACTGTCTTACCTTCGATTAAAATTGTTTGACAGAAATCAGCTGATTTCTGTCAAAAATATTAATCGAGTTTAAACTTTATTATGATTTTTTAAAAATATCATTCCTTATTTCAATATAAAATCGAAGAATGGTACGCATTTGTGTTGTTCTAGTAACGTATAAAAATGATATTTACATTGTTGTACAAATTTGTCAAGATTAATTGACCGATTATACTTTGAATACAGAATTTCTAGGCTTCCGAAAAAATGTCTCGTAATAACAGCCAATCGATATGTTCAACCAAGTTTATCGTAGATATGAAAAGTAAAATTTTACTTTAACTCATGCCACTTTTTCGCCTACGCACAAATTAGACTTATCTGTTTGAGATCGCAGAGAAGAAATAATTATCTTCCCTATTTCTATTATGTGACTCGCTGGTGTATTGAGCTTTTGACATTTAAAATTTGACAACATAGTTCTCTAACTTTTACTTAATTTAAAAAAAAAATAAACATGTAAATCTTTTTTAAAAAAAACTTTAAATCAACTTTGCAAAATTTCTCTCGATATTAAATAATATTAACATGTTAAACGAATGTAAAAAAAAAAAGACAGATTTGCATGCGAAATAATCGACGATCAAAATTAATTAAAATGATTTGTAGATAGAAAAAATATATAATTATACTTGAATAAAATGAAGTTATCAGTTATGCAAATTATATTTGTTTTTAAAGTGACAGTCTCTTACCTCGTTCGCTACATCGACAACTAGATCCTGGTCGCTCTTCTCAGCATCGCTCTCCTGAAAAGAAATGTAAGACATGTAAGACGATAATGATAACAAGAGACGCTGCTTCAGGTTGATGGGGAGATCTACCGAGCCGAGCAATCTACTCGGTACATCAACGAGCTTTTGACGCACCTCCGTCCAAGCAACTCGACCCATATTTGCGTCCTAGTGTGGCGAATACACCCTCAAAGATGTATTATTAATCTTCATATCTCTCGTGTACTCGCACAACTCTCGCCGATTGTGCTCTAACAATAAGTTAGCGGCGAACACCGTTAGAGAGACGACTAATGAGCTCTAGCACTATATAGGGTATCGACGAGGGCTCATGAATATGTAATCCGATTCGCAGAGGTTTCTCAAGAGGTTTATGAATATCAGTTATAAATAGACGCTTAACAATGTTTAAACGTAAAAAAAAATTATATCTCCTAACTTTGCTTCGAATATTCTGCCTACAAATCTTGCTCTGCCAAGTTTAATTCGTACAGGGTGCAACGCATAATTAAAAGTTGTTACAATTACTTAAACACACGGGTATTACTATAATATACACGGTTAATAATTATTCGCGAAACAATTTGTGACTATCACGTATATAACCGTTTACCTTATATCATGGTTATCATATCATAACAAGCTGCCGCTTATTATTTCCGCAATTTTGCGCTCACGTGATACGGGCGTAGGGCATATAAATACACCACGTACATATACATATATATATCGCGTACGGTTAATTTATGTGCGGCATTTATCTGGTAGCTCTTACTACTTATCGGTTATCTTTCACCTCGTACAAGCACAGGTCCCTCGGCTTCGCCGCTGTTTTCTCAGGAACGTGGCGCATAACGAGCTCAAAGCAGGGCATAGCGATAGTAGGGTTGCCCGCCTAATAACGTAATATCGCGATGTGTATATATATGTACGTGTATGTATAAGAGCGTACATATACGCGATACGCATCGTAGAAGGTATATACGCACGCGAGATTGTGTGCGGACGCGTCGTACACGGACGTGTAAAACCACCTGTGCGCGTCGCGGCGTTTTAAATAATTCAGCGAGCGAGTATTTAAAAAAATTTTCTCTCCAGCTACCACGTGCCGTCTAATGCGATCCTGCCCGACGTCCCAGCGTGTGCATAAATTACATTCGACTGCGCTCCGCGAGAGAAAATTGTTCGCACGGGATACCAGAATAGAGATCGTGGACTAATATAAACTGAGGATAATTAAAAGTGACGTGTCCGCGCGATACGAGCACTTTTTCCTTAGATCAATTTTTCCGACAGCCTGTAATTATCGTGAAATTATTATATAAGTATTTATATATTCTAAAAATAAGAAAAATCAAATCCACACAAATATTTTATATAGACTATATCGAGCTCTGACACTGCTAAATAGATATTCGAAATGTATAAATCTCGGTGAGGACGAAACGCGTTTGATCTCATCGCGGGATCTATATTATTACGCGATGCGATAAAAGGGGGCACAGGAGAATATCGGAAAATCGGAAAATAGTTTTCGCCAAAGAGACACAGTCGGATGGAGAGGAGATGATCATCAGCGCGTTAAATGGGTCGCGTGACATTAGTCGGAACTGTACTATACGAAATCGTAGCAATCTGATCGCGCGATATATATTCTTGCCAAGTCGGAAGGGACATCCTCCGGGAGATCTCTCCCCAAGCTGCTAGGGACACGCAATAAATTTGTGTACGAATGATGAGCTTGGGTAAATAGAGAAGGCAGTGTGGTGTGGTATTGATTTCAGTGGTATATTACTCGGAGTGGCGAGCGAAGTAGCGGGGAAAGCGGCTGCGAGGTGGTGTTAGAGGGTGGCGACGGAGGAGCGCGGTCGTAAGAGAGGAGCCGTGGGGTAGGTGGCGGAGGGTGGACCAAGAGAGAAGACCGAAGGAGACGAAGACGAAGGAAGAAGGAGGAAGGTCGGCGGGCGGAGGCTGTCTTCCACCCCTTAACCCGCTCGTTCTAGCGTTAAATATGATACAAATGTTATCATCCCTTCTATTCCGTTCTCCTGGTTCCCACCCCTTCGACCCCCTGGTCTCGTCCTTCGCTTCCGTGCCACCGCCACTGTCCTCTCTCTCTCTCTCTCTTTACGCAGCGCGCCGACCTCTTCCCTCGTTTAACCCGGGGATAGCGCGGGGATGACGGTATTAAGGGCAGCTCTATTATTCGACCACCCAACCACTCGACTCTTCGCCTCGAGAATCCTCGAATCCTTTTTTTTCTCGCTCCCTCATCCTCTCCTTCTCCACCACCACGGCTTATTCCTTCCTTCGAAATCCCTCTTCCCTCGCCTCGCGCGTCCTTCGTACTTTTCTGTTACGATCGTCCCTCCGTCTCGACTTCTCTATCTCTCTCTCTCTCGGAGTTCTGTACCCTCGTTCCGCGCCAGCCGTCTTCTATCGAGGTCCTCTGTAAACAAACGCACGAGAAACGAAAGAAGAATCGAAGGCTTTCGCCCTTGTCTCCTCCTCATCCCGACGACTACTACTACTTCTTCTTCGTCCTCTTTTCGTCTTCCTCCCTTCCCTAGTCTCGTCTCCCGCTGCACTGCTGACTTTCGCAAAGTTAAGCGAGTGGCTACGATGGGAAAAGCAGCGTGTCCACTCACGGACGGGAATGGAATTATCCGACCATGCGAGAGCGCTCGGCTGTTGCGTCGCATGCAAAATCCGTCGCTGATTGCAGGAATATCATTTGCACATCGGCGTTTCATTCTTTCGCGAGGCGCAAGCTTCCATAAAAATTCTCATGCAAATTCAAACATTTTTTTTTCTATTTTTACATTTTATACTTTACGAAGTAAAATCCTTAATATGCCTAACAGTTGCGGATGGTTACAACAATCATGTGAAAGCATTTCCCGGTTTGAACATCGATTTTTCTGTGAAATTAAAGAAAAAAATGAAAGAAAAACAATGCTATTTTTCGACGACAATTCTCCTAATGAGTATAAGAATCGACGTGTCTCTTGACGTATCTTCTGACGTCAAGATAGATATCTCGCTGATACGAAATACGATAAAGAAATACTCTGTTATATATACTCGGTCCAAGGCGACGACGCGACGGTATAAGCATTGTCCCATAACTTTTACGGGGGCGACCCCGCTTTTATGTTTCGAAGCGAGGACGCAGCGGAAATGTATTAAAGCGATTATGTCGCACGCACGGAGAAGGATATACGCGGAAGGACGAGAGACGACGTACGGAGAATAAACTCCCGCTCGCCGACAGCAGCAAAAATCGTCCGTCGCCGAGATTGGCGGTAGGTCACAGAGCTGGCTCCGTTATAATAGGAAAAAAAATTATTAAAAAAAAAAAAAAAATACAGTAATACACATTTTTTTCTACTCCAAGAGCATACAGAATATCGCGCTCTGCGCGCGAGAATATTAAAATTGCGAAATATATTTTGTATTACACGTGCAGGCAAAGTGGCACTTTGTGTACGTGTTTTCTGTGCGGAAAGCGGCCGATTTCCCACGCCGCCATCTTGCGCACAGAAAACGCGCACAAAGCTACTTTGCCTGCATTTGTAATACAAAATAGTATGTGTATCACGTGCGAATTGACAATTGTTCACTCGTGTGGGGTGCTCGCACTCGTGACCAATTGTCAACTTTCCGCACTTGATACACAATATACTATTTCCTTATTTAATTACTAAATATTCCTTCTATGTATATTCTAAATTATTGCGAGATGTAAAAATCATTGTAAATTGAAATTGATAGCGGCTAAATCTAAAGAAGATATACACACGCCTGATTATCGATAACGACGATGCCGATGATTATCCGGTAAACCGACTTGGAACTGGCTCGAAACTAATGCTGGACCCTGGCAAGTACGTGTCTTCTTAGCGCAATAGTGTAATCTCGGACTTTAGAACTCAGAATCCATTTCGTAGACAGCCCCGGTTCAGAAGCCACGCTTTGCTGAATACGCTCCTTAATGCGCTCTTAATGCGGGAACTTGTGTGTGTGTGTGTGTGTGTGTATATATTTTACCACTTTGCCTCCATGATATATATATTTCATCTCGAGGAGACAAAACTGTAAATGGAACAATTTTGAGGTAGAATAATTAATTTTCTCATTATTTCTATAAAAAAAGTGTACGTCGACCCGCGTATATATATATATGTATACGCGGGTCGAAAATTGACGCGATTCGAGAAGACTGCGACCTGAAGATGATATTTCTCTTGTTTTCGCTCTCGAACTTTTTCCCCCCTTTTTTCTCTTAGCGCGGCAACGAGCGGCGAAAACGTATTAAAGCGTTTTTCCAGCGCGGAAAGGCGCGAGTGGGTGAAAGGGTCACCCAGGGAGGAGGAGACACGAAAGAAAGGGAGAGACGAAAGAGCGAAGAAACGGAAGAAAAGGGTAGCAGAACCGTTGACGGAGAACCGGGCTGAAGGGGGAGGTTTAGCTCCGGGAAAAATGGTCGTAGGGCGAAGGAGAAAATAAAGGGGAAACGGTTCGTATGAAAATGTAATTAGGGGAAGCGTGGAAAAGCTCGGCTCATTGCGGCCTCCACCCGCTTTTCTCGCTTCCTCCTACTCTCCCCACTTTTCCCTCTTGCATTTCCGCCTTTCGCGTCATCTTCGATCTTTCTTTTTCTCCTCATCTCCGCGGGATTCGCGCGCTCGTTGCTACCAATTATAATTCATTAATCGCCGATGGTGACGTTTATCGACTCGAAAAAATTTTACGATATAACTATCGCGATCACGTTTACTATTTCCCTCCCTCGCATTGATTCTTTTTAATACCTCTTGAATAGCTGTTAAATTTATTACGAGTTTTCCAGCAATTACCTACAGTCCAGCCGCAGCCGTCGAGCGGATAAGTAGTACGAGTCAATTACGATCAGACGTACACCTTTTTTATAGAAATAATGGGAAAATTAATTATTCTACCTCAAAATTGTTCCATTTACAGTTTTGTCTCCTCGAGATGAAATATATATATAT